ACACATTATAAGGACTCATTAAAAGGCTTTCCTTAAAAGATAGAAATTCATAAAACATAAGGATTCCCAATCCTTTAATAACTAACCACCTCCCTAGATTTTCGAAAATAATTAATCAATAAGGACTTAATAATTTTAGTCCAAATTTAATACATAAAAGAAAATTCAAATAATAAAAATCTAACTCTGTATGATATTAAATAAACAAAGCATAAAATTAGAGACGAGAGCCAAAACTCTCGACCATAGAGGCCTAAAGTACTCGACCATGGTGAAAGAAGTGACACTCTGTCATGCACCTCTAGTTGGAGAAGAGTTGACCTCGATATTTTGGTCTCTCGCCCTCTTCATCTAGATAATGAAGTGATCTTAACTATTAATACTTATTTTTGGATATATTTAAAAAAAAATAGACACGAAGATTATAAAAAGAAATTACATCCAAAAATCACATCCGGACGTTCTTTTATTAAAAAAAATAATATCGAACGTATTATCATTATGCCTTTTTTTACAACTATTTTTTATGAAAGATAAATATTAATAATTACTTGTAGAATACAATAAAATTTCTAATGAAAATCTAATCTAATCAAACCTAATCATAAAATCGTAATTAATTTACTAGATTAGTACCAATCCAATCAGTCATTATAGTTGTCATAAGAATTTTTTAAAAAAAGTACTCTTAACTATTAATACTTATGTTTTGGATCTATTTAAAAAAAAATTACATTCAAAAATCAAATCCAAGCATTCTTTTTTCCTTTTTCTAAATCATATCAAAACATGTTATCATTACGTCTCTCTATTTTTTTCTTTTCCCCTTATAAATTTATCCTCTTTAAGTTAGCTCACTTTTGATCATTTGCCTCCAATAACTCCTAAATCATAAAATAAACTTAATTCAGCACATATAACCTAAAATCATATCCCAAAGACTAAATACAAGAGAATAAAGATATTCAATAATCCTCACTATCGATACATTACCTATGGAAATCCGACAATCACTTCTCCTTTAAGACCTCTTTCATCTCAACCCATGTCAAAATTCGTGGCTTACCCTCCGGTATTCTCTTGCTCTTCGATTTTCCCACCACGAGCTACATTATCGGTGAGTTTTATAGCTACTAGTTTAACCTTCTTATATTCGGGTAGTTCATAAAAATCAAATACTTTCTCCATGGCTTGCAACCAGTCAATAAACTCATTGGAATTAAGTTTTCTTTCAAACTCAAAAATCCTTAACTTGACCCTTATTAGTGGTACCAATCCCTTCAAGGTCTCTCAACTCGGGATGCCACCTCCATTTTCTTAAAAGATTCGGCATGTAACACATAAAAGGAATTCTTTTATTCGAGTTCCTCTTCCCGACTCCCCTCCACCCATGGCCTCTCGGGCCACTCTTCCTTCCTCGAAGTGCTTTCAAATCACGATTCCTCCATCAAAACTCTTTGTTGCCTTGTTATAATTGTTTAATGACTCATTTCATACCTTGCATAGTCATCGTGTTTGTTGATCCTTTTGCAAAAGCATCTATACTTCGGTTAAATCACAATATGGAAGATGAACCTAAGCTCTAATACTAAACTAATGGCGAAACAATGTCATGCTTCAAAATCCTACATAAGCTCAATCAACAATCATAAGATAAAATCCTCAATAAGTTTTTCTATCTCAATAAACACAATGACAATACAACAAGTTCATAGATAATCAAATCCACACTCAATTCCAACAAAAAAATAGATTTATCAAATAAGTCATCTTATTAACATGACTAGGTTTTAAGTGTTCCTAGGTTATCCTTGTCCAAACAAGCTAAAAATTTACCATAATCTACCTAACATATAGTAATAGTTGCCTGCAAAAATTTAGATCAAACTAAGTTCTCTAAGATCTTATTTAGGTCAAAAAAAACTTCTACATCCTAATCTATCTCTACACCATCTAAAATTTTAGTAAGGTATTTGAATCTGTACACCCCTCAAATTAAGTCCAAATAATCTTAAATTTGATACACAACTACAAGAGGTCTAGTAGAGTGTCTTTGCAAAATTTTAGCCTTAACAGATAATTCTAATCCCTCCAACACGTAGGTATTTTGAGGGCAACTTTTAGAATTATGTTGGTTAGTTTAAGCAATTCAAACTATTGTTATTATAAAATCATACAATTCCAATTAATTAAATCTAGAACCATTCCAATTCTCTAAATCAAGAAAGTGTAAAAGACCCATCTAGGATAACACATCAAAAGTCTTGAAACCATATTTTCAAGCTCTTGCACGCAACAATCTAAACTTATCTTAGTCGATCACTCTAAGGATGTGCTTTAAGTAATCACATCCTAATCTAGTTCAAGCCAAGAAAAATACTCAAATATTTGAAAGAAATAATTCTAACTTATTACTTTCAAAGTTGACATAAAGCTTATTGAATATTTCAGCCAAAAGCTTTTACAAAAATGCATGAAAATTATTTAAATACTCGACCCTAAATACTAGGAGTTTTGACTAGGGTAGAATTTTGACTTTTTAGACCGGACCTCACTTTTATAAATAAAATGGACTTATGCAAATCATACTCAATTAAAACTTATTCTTACTTGTCTCAAAATAAATATAGATCCACACATTACAAGGAATCATTAAAAGATTTTTTTCAAAAAGATAGAAATCCACAAAATATAAGGATTCTCAATCCTTTAATAATCGATCACCTCCTTAGATTTTAGAAAATAATTAATCAATGAGAACTTAATAATTTTACTCAAATCTAATACATAAAATAAAACTCAAATAATAAAAATTCAATCCATATGGATATTAAATAAACAAATCATAAAAATTAAAGATAACGAGAAAAAATTCTCGGCCATGTCGAAGGAGGTGATACTCGTGTCACCTTCCATGTATATATATATATATAGATGATAGTGTAGTCATGTTTTTTCCACCCTCCATGATCGAATAAAAAACTAGGCTCAAACACTAACGACGTCTCACTCAAAAAAAAAAAAAAATTATTTTTTTAGATAGAGTTATTGTTGAGTTATCAATGTGATTAGAGAATCTTACAATAAACTAGGATGAAAAGTTTGAAATATTTAGATATAAATATGATAAATAATTTAACAGATTATTTATTTATTCTTAGAAGTGATGCCCATCAATATATATAAATACTTGCCCGTAAACTTGTGAACCATTTATAAAAACTCTAGCATAGATTTTCCCAACAAACTTTTCATACTTTCTTTTGATAGTGGTTGGTTATATTTTATTCAATCTTTTCGAAGTTATAGAACTTCTTGAAAGACTTTGTTGTGATGAAAATTATTACTGACATTCTTTGGCTATATATACGTTTTGGATTCTTATCATTTCCTATGTTGGGAAGAGAACATGAATGATTTATGTTTCAAATCTTACTACCAATTATGAATTTAATTATCTAGGTAAGAGAAAAGAATATAAAATTAAATTGTTGTGACATGCAAAAGTCATAGCCATTTATTTTTATTTTTATTATTTTTCTATATGTAATATATAGTAAGATTATTCTCGACTTAACTTTTAATCAACGAGAGTAATTCTTTCTTGAGCGTAAGTCTTTCCTCGATCGGATTTTATGCAAGCCATCTTCATCTAAATTGTATATTTAAAAGAAAATAAATTCTTGTGGCTTCTTCTAAAATACGAATCCAGAATGATATATATCAGGGGTATGTCCACGACTACTTTCCAAACTAAGCCTTAAAAAAGGTAATTTACTTCAAAATTAAGAAGATATAAATAGCATAATTAAACATGAGAGAAAGTAACATTAATACTTCAATGATCAGGTGAGATCCACTTCCGAAGTTTAGCCAATATGGGGGTATTTAATATATGTAGGTGATGATCTTTAATTTTAAGAGTCCAGATGGTTGATAAAATTATTTTTTTTTTTATGAAATTGATGAAATGATTCGAAATGTTTATGGAGTAAATTATAAATTAATCCCTCTAGTTTTAACAAACAAATTAATTAGTCCCTTCATTTTAAAAATTATTATTTAATTTTTTAATTAATGTTGATCATGCTTAATTTTGAAATTTCTTATTTTCTCATCAATCTTTTTATATTTTTTCATATTTTTTGTTTTTAAACAAATAAATAAAATAAATAAATAAATGAGTAAAAATGATTGAATTACAAGTAGATTTAAAAAATATTGAGACTAAATAATTTGCTTTTCAAAACAAGAAGGACTAATGGATTCATTCCTCAAAACGTGAGGAACTAATTTATAATTTACTTAATTAATGTTTCAGCACTTACTATCCCTTTGATGACATCATATATGCATCTCTCCTAATTTCTCTTTCAATAATATTTTTCTGTATTGACCCAAGAGATGCATGTGTCAATCACTCGTGCAATAAGAAGCAGCACCATGGCCATGGACTCCAATAAAAGAAAGCAGCATCTCCAGAATGATCTAAGCATAACAAGAAAATTAAATAGCCCCTTCGGATAAGTGGGTCCAAAAATATTCCACCTAGTTTCAAACCGCGTTCCAAAACAGTACTGTATGGTAATTGATCATAGAATCCATTTTGTAAGTTTCTTTAATTAACTTGATTTTCCGCCCCCACAAAACATTACTCCATTAGTTTACTAATGCAGCATTCAAAACTTGCATACTTGCCATTTTGTGATTGGTTACTCCCTGAAAATCTACAATTTCTTAGGTTTCAAACCAGAAATAAAGATTGTGAACTTGCACAAAACACATCTTTGTCACCTGTGCAACTACTCGGAAGCTCCCTTCCTTTCTTAATGAGTCTCCACGTTTCAGTCGACTTAGATCCCACAAATATCTATATATACTGGAGTAATATGCATAACTGGATGACACTACCTCGTACCAATACATATCGATCATCCCCTCAAACCTCACTAGCTAACATACCCAACAATATTGGTCTTTGATTTAGTTGGGAGTTATAGATGGATGAGAGAAACACTGGTAGCCATGGTGGTGTGAGTTCCACCTATAGAGGGGTACGAAAGAGAAAATGGGGCAAATGGGTGTCAGAGATACGTGAGCCAGGGAAAAAAAGTAGAATTTGGTTAGGGAGTTTTGAGACACCAGAAATGGCAGCAACAGCTTATGATGTTGCTGCTTTACATTTTAGGGGATACGATGCGAAACTTAATTTTCCTGACTCGGTTCATAATCTACCAAAGCCAGCAAGCAGTAATGCCGAAGATATTCGCATAGCAGCCCATGAGGCAGCTATGAGCCTTAGGCCCTCTGCAGCTGAGTCCTCCCAAGGTGGCAGCTCTAGCTCAAATGTTGGTCCCATCACAGTTAGGCTCTCCCCAAGCCAAATTCAAGCCATTAATGAGTCACCCTTGGATTCACCAAAGATGTGGATGCAAATGTCAGAGACAGCAACGCTAGAAGAGTCCATGATGTTCGCCAATGACGGTGAGGAGGAAAAGTGGGAAAACAAGCAAACAGATTCTCTTTGGGATCCTTAGGTAACGTGTGCTTATGAATATGCTGCTTAGAATATTGGACGTAGCAGTAATATAAATTAATATATACGTATACGAAATTGCTTTTGACATATAGCTGTCTCTTTACATAAAACTTTGACCTATATATTTTATTATGTGATTTTTTTTCTTTTTTTAAAAAAAAAACTGAAGAGTTCTAGTAAAAGAAGCTATAAGATTTCAACTTGGTTATTGGTTGGTAGAAAGTATTTAAACTGCCAAGAATTGATAAATTGGCAAATAGGGGGATTAATTCTCTGTTTAATGGAACAGTACTGAAAATAGATAGGTGTGATCAAGTTTTTTTTAAGGGAAGCACGTTTTTATAGTTAAATAAAGTGGGCGGTTTTGGGGACCCATTTGAGGGATGAAGCGTTTCTTAACTTGGTTTTTGTCAGCTTGTTAAGAATACTTATCCTTAGTGGATGAATTGATTGTGGAGTGAGAGGGCCACAAACATCTCACAACATGGATAATTTCTATTTGGTTTTTGTCAGCTTCTTGTGATTTGTATTGTTGTAAGATCATGATTCCCTTGTACCATAAACTGTAATTTTCCATTTGAATGAAATTCTTAGGTTGTTATTTTATTTTCTCATGTACCATATACTATATTGAACAATTTCATGTTAGTGTTAATATTTTGTGAATTTGGTTCATGGAAGGGCACAAAAGAATCTATATATATATCTAAGCGATCCTGGTTAGTTTTACATTAAGGCTTTGAGTGGATGCAGTGCACCCGCTCCATGAATTCTCAATCCTTGTCACTACCACACTGTTATGACACATAAGAATAGGAAGTATGCTTATTGTTCGTTTATCAAGAAGTATAAGCAGCAATTTAAAAGAACATGTTTCCCGGGAAATCCAAAAGAACGACAAAATGGCATCACACTGCTAGAAAACGAATCAAGTAAAATATAAAAACAATAATAATTACACTATATAAAATTTATTTGGTTTAGAAATATTCCTCTTACATGGTTACACTAAAAGTTCTTATTAAGATTTTCAAATAATTTCAAATACAAAAGATTATGAAAATAACTATAGTTATAATAATAAAAAGAAAAGCTTTACAGATATATATATCTATCTCAACATTTCGAACACTTGTTGAGAGCTCTGCCACCTTGTTTCTTATTTGTTTGTTAATTGATTAGCGAGGTCATTATAATAGCTCTACGAACATAGAACACTAAACTCTAATCATATTCATATTACTTTTCATAACTTATCACAAAGAATAAAAAAAAACCATTGCATCCATATTCAAAATTACTGCAATAATTTATTTATTTATTTTATGGGCATAAAGTAATTTTAGTATATAATTCAAGCGATTGGTCTAATGAATTAAGAGATATACTCTATTTTTTATATTTTTTATATTCGAATTATAAGGCTAGCATTTAGAGAAATTTTTAACCAGCACATATGAAGATACGAAGAGTGCATTCTTAAAATCCAACGAGTTCACACCTTAAAAAAATAGGATGGGATTTAGAAATAAAGAGAGTTATGTCCTACTGTGTAGTACAAAAAATCATTGTACCTCCCATGAGTCAAAATAAAGAACAAACCTCAAAATACCTTCCCCATCTATATAAATAGTTTCAATTTTACCCCTAAACAAATTTTGGTATCAATTTTGTCTCTCAAATTTCAAAAATTTTCAGTTGAGCTTGCCTTCCATATTTCATCATGAATTTATCTAAATGGGACCTTTTAAAAGGAAAAAAATCCTCTTATTGGGAGTTAACACGTTTTATTAAGGAATTTTAATAGAAGGCCTCCAACTGAGAAATCAAATTTATTTAGGGATAAAATTGATATAAAAAATTTTTTCAGGGAAAATTAATACAAACCCATTTGTTGGGGGGCATTTTTTAGGTTTTCCTAGGTATAAAACTGATTTTAAAAAAAAAAAAAAAAAAAAAGGAAAAAAAATCGTAAACTCATATATATTATTTGTTGTACGAGTGCTGGTCAGTACTCATCGTTAGCCACTGAGGGAAAAATACATAGTCGAGCCCATATTGGATGATTCGGATTGAAACTGGCCACTTAGGATGGGCTTCCGTATCCAACGTGCCATGTTTCTATTTTATTTAGTATTCTTAACAATTTTTTTATATTTACGATTCAATATTCAAAATCATGGTTTTTTTCCTTTCATATGGTAAAAAATATCATCAGGTCAACTTATATACTAACCGAAATTAAATTGTTCTCGAACAATTAAAAAAAAAAACACTTCCACACCAATTTAATACATTCAAAAGAACTTTAATAAATTCAACTTGATGCATGTAAAATTATAGTTAACATAACAAAACATTTATAATTTCACAAGAATATGGTTTTTGAGTTTCAAGTTCTGGTCCTATCATCAAGAAAAAAAAAAAAAAAAAGAGAGAGAGAGGAATTTTTAAGTTTTTGGAATTTTAATTTATATATAAAAAAATGAAATTCTAAAACAAATAAGTTCAAAAGGTAACTTAGTTATTAAGTACCTGAGATTTTATTAAAATTACACATCAATCCTTTAGTTTTTACAAAGGGTTAATCAATCAATTTACCCTTATAACATTGAGAGATTTCTTCCTTAATAAATCCTTAATTATCCCCAAAAACTAACAGCCTTTAATGTGAAAAAGGAAAAAAAAATAATTTCAGAAAATTCAAAAAATTATTTGAAATGTATTTTAATTTCAACATTCTCAAGAAAAAAAAAACCGTCCTAGATGAATGTTATGTGAACCATTAAAATATAAAATATAAAAACATTACCAAGCAGAAAATTAAGATTATTAACAAGAACAAAATAATACGATGAGAATTCACAAAATCTCAATTATACCATAAACACGTCAATAAAATGACAAATTATCATTCCGAGTTTGATCAATTTATTAATTATCCATCAAATTAGTGTTACTTTTAAACTTTTTTAAATTTATTTTATTTAATTTTGTCAACAAATTTATTGAAATTTTAAATTTTTATTTACTTTACGCTAAAAAGTTTTTAAGTTTTTTTTCCCCCTTTTCTTCAATATCTTTTATTGTTCAAAAAATTTCAAGATTTTACATAATGAAAGGCACTTAAAATAGCTTAAGAACAATTGGAATTCATTATCGTTTTCTTTAACTCAATGACTAGTAACTCCGGTTGAATTCCCGCTTGATGAAGAAGGTAATGTCACGAACAATATCCACTAATTAACCAAATTTTAACACCATGGCAAATATCAAACATGGCTATAATACATTCTTTAAAAAAAAAAAAAATGGCTACAGTACCGTTATCGTTAGTGAATTGAATTTGAAGCTTCGTTGTGTGTTAGTTGACGAAGCAAATAGCCAGGCGTCCAAGAGGGATCCCTCCGCAGTTAACGGTCCCTACCATCTAATCTATAAAAAGGCTAAGAATTTGACCAATGGAATATGGGCACACTTGGTTTTATCTTTTTTTGGTTTTGACGAGGAAAAGTATCCTAGGATCATTTTTTTCCCTATCAATCTGCATTAAAAAAAAACCGCGTAACTATTAAATTTAGGATAACTAGCTCAATATAGTTTTTTTATAATAACTTTATTATAAAATAAATAGAAATAATATGAGAATTGAAGAAAATGATGACAAGAAAATGAAATTACTATAATGTGAATATAAATAATAAGAACTTCAAAGTTTCTTTTATTCTCTCTAAGAAATTTGTACACCAACTAATGAACAATAAAACCTATTTATAGGCTTTAAAATTGAAGAGAGAATTGGAAGGGACTATGAAAAATCAATTGCATCACCCTTTCAATTTCTCATATTGAATGATGAATTGAATCATATTAAGAATCATAGTAGTGGGGATATGAAAAGTGGATGAACATGATGATGGACATTCATTATTTAATAACACTCCCCTTGAATGTCCATTGTACAAGGAACATGCCTCGTTAAAACCCAATGGGAAAAAAATCTTAGTTAAAGAAAAAGAGTACAATATTCCTTGCACACATTAATTCCCATTTTTGTCTCCCCTGTTGAAGGCATTATTTAAGATCTCTAAGACGACGCATTCTAATCTTATGAATCTTCTCAAAAGTTATGGTAGGTAATGTTTTAACGAATAAATCTATTGGATTGTCACTTTGATGTATTCTTCCTTCAATGGAATTATGCAAGCAACATTATCCTCATATGATATTGTTGGAACTTCTTTTCGTTGGTTAATAAATTGCATGTTTCTCGGATACAATGGATTATTGATCTTAGCCAAACACAATCTCGACTTGCCTCGTGAATTGATATTTCGCTTTATTTGAAGATGTGACGGCTATAGTTTGCTTTATAGAACACAAAGATATGGTTGGATCTCCATATGTAAATATATAACAAGTTATGATCGAGCTTTGTATAGATCGGTTAAATAATATGCATTTGCATAAACAATTAATATTGTCTTTGATTTATTGGAGTAATATAAGCCTATATCAATTATTCCTCAAAGATAACATAGTATATATTTAATTTTATTTTAATGTCTCTATATTGAAACGGAACTATGACTTGTTAATAAATTTATAGAAAAAACTATATCGAGTCGAATGTTATTAGCAAGATACATCAATGCACCAATGGCACTAAAATATGGTACTTCGGGACCAAGTAGTTCTTCGTTATCTTCTTGAGGTCGAAAAGGGTCTTTTTGGATATCAAGTGAATGAACTACCACTTGGGCTAGTCAATGAATGATCTTTATATAGAATCATTGTAGAACCTTTTTCGATATAAATTGACCGATGAATGAAAATCTCATTCTCCGAGTGCTCGAACTGCAGGTCGAGATAACATTTTATTTTCTTAGGATATTCACATCAAATTCTCTTTTTAGGTAACTTATGACACTTGAAATCTCTTTGGGAGTTTCAATAATATTTAAGTTATCAACATATACTACAAACCCCTTGTCAAAT